TCTGAAGATTGATTTAATTATCGATATCAAATTCTTAACGGCTGCCTTTTATACAAGGTACCTAAAAGCATAGAAATCGGCCCCTAAAATCCAAAGTGTGTGGTGACTTCCTTCTTAGATAGGCATGTTAGATTCCTCTACCGTTTGATATAGAAATGAATAAGGCCACAAAGTTTCAATACAAATAAAAGCAACCGCACATTTAACGAACGTCGTTCTGTTTGCGTTTTGGTGAATAACTGGTAATCAACAACAATACATGGGACACGTATAAAAAGCGTTACTTCATTGTTCTGTTAACAATAGGAATACTCATATAAGCAAATGATAAACAGGCAGATACAGTGCTAAGTCGGCAGCTTTATTTAGTTATTATATATGTGATTAATTTTGTATTGATGGAATAAACAGTATGATGGAATTTATAGTATGTGTTCACCTTTGTTATCTTTCACATGATCTAGGACACGACATTGGATCTTAGACAAGATTTTAGTAATTATTTCACATGTTTCTTTCGCCCACCCCTCTCTCTCTCTCTCTCTCTCTCTCTCTCTCTCTCTCTCTCTCTCTCTCTCTCACACACACACACACACACACTCACACACACACACACACACACACACACGCACACTATTCAGTTCAACATTTAGAAATAAACAATACAGGTACAGGTAGAAGAAAAAACATGCCATTGTTATATTTGGGGCTTAAACTAATATGTAAAGTCTGGTGCTGTTGCTAATGTAACTTTCACATCAAACTAGGTATTTTGGTACCCTAAACCAGGCACATTTTCCACCAGCCACAGTTAGAAGATTGACCATATTTAGCCAGAGACATTATATGTGAATATCTAGTGAAAAATCAATCAGTGGACCTGGTAGAGGTTAGTATTTAGGTTAATAAGGTTAGGATTCGTGTACTGTTACTTCTGTGTAATGAAAGGTTAAGTTACTGTAAGGTGTAGTTTATTGTGAGTTTTCGTTTTGCAATAAAAAAAAAACAGATATTGCTAAAACATCCAAAGACATGTTTTATATTAATAACCTTTACCTTGTTGTCATTTCCAAACTAACGACCTTCTGAAAAGAATTTACGCACATGTAGCTCTACTCCTGTTACATTCATTACAGATGATAAGAACAGGATAAATCTCGGGTTTCTCCGTTTGGTGAAAATTTATATTCAATTAGTGCGGGTTTACAAGCTAATCTGAGACTCAATCTACGATCTGAATCGCCAATACCGTTATTAACTGTTTCTTGAGACGGGAGAAGAGGGGGTAGGAAATCTGGACAACCGCATATAAGCTATATCAGTATAATAACAATCCACATTTCTTTGGGAACTATAACTGTTTGTACTTTTTATTGTATTACTTTGAAATAATATGTTAAAGACACCTCTTTTTAAAAGGCCCATTTAAAAGAAAGCGATACAAACATTTGACTTTATTTATTTATTAAGCGAATTATTTTGTCGACATTGGAAGTGTTTCACCATGAGCATAGAGACACACATGTACTGTATGTCTGGCAAAAGGAATTTTGTCGGTTTTTTTCAATGGTTATTGGTAGGGATTTATCTAGACTATGAATGAATTACCAAGTGACATCACCTTTTTTGTTCACAGAATGACAATCAGGAAGGACGTATTGAACCTTACAGCCGTACCTTTTATCCTGATTTGATATATACATAAACCCCACGCTTCCTTCTATCAAGTTTCTATTACGATCTGCTATACAGGGCATATCATCGGAATTCTGCTCCCGTCTCTTTTTCTTTTCTTCATTTAACAAACTAAAGCGATGGCCTTTGATCTGCGAAATAATATTATTTTGTTTGTTAGGATTCACTTTACCCACACATTTCCTTGTGGATGAGATCAGAGACGTATTTATAATGTTATATATCATACTACAAACAAAAGAATCAACGTAAAGGTATGTGAACGGTACGTGTTTTGATGCTGTTCATAATATGTAATCTTTCCGTTGCTTTCACAAACTTGAGTTCCGTTAATCAAATCAAACGATTTTGATACATGATGCTCCATCGGAAAAACTACACCGCAGTGAAAAGTAATACCGCCATTAACAAAAGCTCTGAATAGTCTTCCAAATCTCTGACAACTTGTCTGTTTAGCTAGACTAATAAGACGCAGCTATCAATTTTACGATCGGGGTGTTTTTCCGTATCGGTCTTGATCAAACTGATCTAAACGCAGTGCTGGCATAGTTTCACGGGTAATTTCGCTAACTGGGTATTGTCCAAGGTGACCGCAAACAGGCGAACGACGGAGGTAAGAGCTAGCGTCTCACCAGGTAGCTATTTAACAGTTTTTAGCTGATATTAACACCCCCACTTTACTTTCCATTGTGTTAAAGGTGCGCAAAACCCCGCCGCGAACGAGATAGGCAAGGGCTATTGATTAAAGTCTTGTTTACTTCGGCAGTGTCTGGCGGCGATTCGTTGGCTGAATCGGTGTTACTCTCTCACAGGTAGGAAAGAAAAATAAACAGCACATTATAATTGCAGGTTCGTGCTATCAAGTCATCAATGTAAGTGGTTAACCTCGTCCCCCGTCTTGCTGTAAACGACACCCTGTTTTAAATATCAATTGTTAATAATGGGGTCGCGTCTTGTTCACCCTTTAAATAGTCGTCAAAATCAAAATAATCTCAAGAATATGTGCTTATGTGACTTCTCTTAACTTTTTTAATTAATTGTTTTATTTCTCTACGCGTGCCTGCATGTAATGCTTTACAATTCGATGTTTTATTCATCCTTTAAGGTGGTTGGTCAATTAATAGAAAATAAACAATAGAACTACAGTTGTACGTTGATATAGTTTTCCTTCTTTTGGAATACAGGGATAAGAAGCATGTGACAATGTGACACTCAAATACAGTGTTGTGTCACTGACTTGGGCTCGTTAGAGAAACATCTGTATAACTGCATACCATACTCACGTCTTTTTCATATTCCCTACTTACTTTTAAATTTACGTCTTACCGTTACGGATACCGCGTCATCTTTATTTTATGCCCCATGAATTCTTAAAATATGACACTACATTTTGAGTGGTTTTTCAACCTATAGTCAATACTCTATACTAATTTATCAGGTAAATTGATAGAGACGAATAGACCAACGTTATCATTATTCAGATGAACGTTGACTTCTTTTTATTTACTTGTTAAAACTTTATACTGGGCTGGCACTTATACATGTACATTAATTACTTGATACATTGTAAGCGTTAACTAAGACATTATCATTAATGTTAACTAGGACCCGCCAATTCCAGTGAGTCCTAGAAGTAAATTACCCATGTTCAATAGCTGCAAAGGTTTTTTTTTTCATATTGAAAAATATAATACGTGAAGTATTGTGACCCATTCAGTCGCGCCCATAAAGGAGAGGTCTAAAGTCAGGATAAACTAAATGAATAGAAAGAGCTACAGTTATACCCTAAGCCAGGATGTTAAAACAAGTATTGTATTGGACGTGAGTTACCCAGTAAATACTCTTTTCAATTTTTCTTTTGAAAGTACAAGGAAGAATTTTGAAGGAAAAATGCACAACAGTTTATAATTACTTGTGCTGTCCCCGAGAATAAACACTCAATCGTTGTAATTAGAATTTGATAAGTACATCATTTTATAACTGCCCTTTCTGCTAGCATTTAAAAAGCAAAAGCATGTATCATTTCCTTTTTATGTTATTTGGTGGCTTTCTATGGTCAAAAAAAGCTGTAGCCCAAAAACTGGTCTAAAACTTTAAACCTAAATCTTTGACACCTTGACACCAAAGAAATCGGTACAGTCAATATATCAAATATTGCTACTTTGGGAAGCGTCTTATATAAGTAGAATCAGTGCTGACAACATTCTGGTAGATCAACACCATTGGTCTTGGACCATTATTAAAAAGTTAACTTAATGTTGGCTATGCGATTTAAGCAGCCTTAGTTAAAAAAATAAGTAGGCTTCAGGTGTGAGGTTTGAAATAAATCCTCCTACACCCCCCCCACTCCACCCCCACACCCACACTCCACCCCCACACCCACACTCCACCCCCACACCCACACTCACACCAGTTAACAGATGGATATCTTAAAAGAGCTATAGTAATTTAGCGGGCTATCTTTCCACCTGTCAGATCTGACACCTGGTCTGACACGAGTCTAGAGCTAGAACCCAGCCATCAAAACTTGTCTGATCGGTCCAAGACCCAAACTTAGATCATGTCAGCTAGGCTTCGTTCACAATAGAGCGTAAGACAATATTATACATGTAGCAGGTCTTAAATCGCACACCGCAAATGTTATACGAATAAACTTTGCCCAAAAGTTTACCGAAGCTATGTTAATGCCTGAACAGAAAAAAACGAACACAATAGTTAATATGAAAATTCTTATTTATCAAAAGGACTAAGTGTAATGTTATAATGAATAACGAAAATGAATATATAGAAGTTGTTGTGGGGGGCAATAATGACAGTACTGGTGAGCAAAAACACATGAAAAAGATGACATTTGCTGAAATAAATGGCAACAAGATGTTAACTTCTTATCAAAAGCCATGGATCTGTTACAATGTAAAATAATGCCTTATATTTCAGGTCAACAGTTGGTATGTTTTATGAGACCGGTACAGATTTACCGAGTGACTTATAAGCGTATCGCAATATTATAAGCGTGTCCGGAGAATTTGAATTTGAAATATGAATAAGAAATAGAAATGTGTTTCTTAAGAATTGGGATAAAAAGTTTTTTTTTTTTATTAATTTCTGACAGACACCAAAATAGAATTCCTCTGCAGTTTCCGCGAAATTGCCTTGTTAAATGCCATTTTTACTGAGTCACTTCATTATTTACACATAAGATTAGAATTGTTGAGTTTGATTGGAGGGGGATGTAGACATGTTTAACAATTTGTGATTAACGGAACGTTATTCCTCTTTTTTTTCCTTATGTAAGTTCAGGTAGCGATGCCCTGTGTGACGTTAGCGTTATCACTCACCGGAGAATGGGTTCACGATTTGCGCATGCGCACTTGAACAATTAAGTTCTCCACAGCTGAGCGGCGTCACTATCTTTAAATCAGAACATCGTTAAACACCAGGTTAGGTGTTAAAGGTGTCTCCGTAGATTGAGCCATTGTTTTGTTGACCATTGTGAATGGGAGAAAGTGATAAGTAGGCCGATTAAACACAGGGGAAGACAATTAAAAGAAAACTAGACGTTAAAGCGTGGGGGCTAGCTGTGAACTTCACAGTTGTCAGTCGCGACTGTTAATGCATATGGGTAACTGGCAGCCCCTCATGGGTGACAACCAATCACTGAGCCTAGGGCCGATCAGAAATTACCTAACTTAAAAGCGGCGACAACCATTCACCACGGCAGACAAGCAACGGGACTCGAGCCGTTCACATAACTCAGCTCCAGACCATTTACTCGAATACATAGATATCTGCACATACATATATATTTGTGTATATACTTGACGACAAGAGATTTCATTGAACAGGAGAAAATGCCCCGAGCATTCTTGGTGCGAAAGCCTGACGACCCTTTGCCTTCATCGATGGAGAGTTCCGACGAGCCTGTGGCAAAAAGAGCAAAGCTTTGCGACGAAGAATCAGTCCTTCCCCCCGCTCCGAAAAGCGAAAGGCCTTGCGGAATCGCATTTCCAAGTGATGTCAGAGAGAACGCTGTGGACAAGACGACTGCCCTGAGCGTCAAGCCAGAAGAAGCCTCCTTAGCGCCAAAGACGCCTAAAGGTAGCTATTTCTCTCCGCATTCACAGGTGTACCTTTATACGTTTTAGCCCGATATAATGCATTGTTGTAATTTGGCATTTTTTTTATTAGGTGTGATGTAATGCGGGGATGAATGACTAAATTCAAAATAATCTGAAATATTACTCTTGCTGGAAAAGCATTTTGTGCTAGTGCATGTATTTCATCTGTTCATTTGATGGTTTAATGAACGGAAAATTTAATTTAATTTTTGATAATTTATGATATGTTGCCATACATACCAAGTGCACGCTCGATGATCCCCCCCCCCCATTATTCATATTTTAAAAATAACTTTTCCTGTTGTAATCTGCAGAGGGTGTTCCTGAATTTATTGTAAGTTTACCTTGTTTCATAAAGCGTAACGGAAATGCTGTCGCCCAATAACACAACCAGGTTAATTCTGCATTAGTCCTACATAAGAGAAATGAATAACTGTTAAAAAGAGATGAAATGTAAATTAAACAAATAGCAATAAAATTAAACAGACACGTTTTCGGTGAAGCGATGCGCCTAATAACTATCACAGCCAAAACACGGGCCACTCGTGTCATCCGACGCGGATCCACATTTTTGAGGAAATAATATATTAACGTTAAAATAGCCTTGCGGTTTATCTGTTTAACTTTTACGACTCCAACCGGCATAATATGCCATAATTGACTTGGTACGGTCACGCTGCGGCTTTCATATCAACGACATTCATGTGAGCAACATTAAATCGTTTATTGTTATTTTTATTATTGCCTTCATGTTTCTTCATATCGAAATTGTAAAACATTTCCCGAAGGCTATGCCAATAAATAAATTTAAGACTGAACAGGTTTTGAAACATTTTCAAACAAATGAGTAAGTTTATTATCTCCTTTTCTAATGATGGATATAAATGCAATAAAGTTGATCGCACCTGCTTAGATAATTTGAGAAAAATCCAGCCAAGCTCAACTTGAAACCATACGTTTGTTTTTTCATTGTTTAAGACGAGAAATTAAATCAATGACAACAATTATAAAGTTTAAATTGCAGATAAAAAGTGAAAATTTTCTTGTGCAATTACATTTAGTAAAAGTTACATATGTGTATAAATAAGTTGTTTTTTAAATAAAAGCATTTGTCTCCAACCTGCGTGTTAGATGCACTCCACATGGTATTTTTCATCCATTTATTAAGCAATCGGAACAAACTTACCACCTCAAAAATATCATTTTAAAAGAAAAATCAGTCCATTTTTCTAAATCTGGAAGCAAGTCACCTTCAGATCCATCTATTATTTAGCATAGGTATCTCGATCGCTTTTAAATGGTATTGGAATTTGGCAACAAGCCAACAATTACCTTAAAAACACTACAACTCACGTGTCTGAGTTTTTCTGTTGCAGTACTGCCTGACGTCAAACGAATGAGAAATTGGACGTCAGGACGATAGGATTTTTTCCTTGTTTTGTCATTTGGGACTTTTTTCTTTTTTATCTTCACATAATTCTTTAAACGTAGAAATCCTGTAGTAGAACAAATACACCTAAACTGTGGAGCTGAATTCACTTGTCCTATGTGGAATAAATCATTTTAAATTGAAGGTTTTGCGGTGAAACAGTAGAAAGATAGAGTTTGAATTATACCAAGAAGTAAAGAACGAGGGTGAACTTACAAAGAAATAATGCTTTAGTCCAAACAAATTAAAGTTTTGCAAAAATGAAAGAATAAAACATCTTTTAACGCGCGTATAACGCGTGGAGTAAACATGGAACTCTAAGTGAAAACTTCTTTTATACATACATTCGATATACCAAACTGAAAAAAAAAGATATAAAGCCGTATAGTTATGACCAATGGTCATCACGATATACAGTTCCGGAATCATACAGACTCATAAAGTCATTGAAAAGACTAAACTCGTAGCTGAAAGTGCCAAAAAAATTTTCGAAAGGTGGGTTGGACTGATGTTTTGCTTTTGAAGATTCGCCTCTTATAACGTATCTTGACATATCTTCTTTCGGCGACGAATAAAGGTACTTTTGAATGCATACCGGTTCAGCACTTCGGTCGAATGGGCTTTTTTTTTTTATAAATCATTGAAACCACTGGCGGAAATGATTAACAATCTTCAAGAAAAATCGTTTCATGATCGCGCCTTCATCGAGCCTCTAACACTGAAGTCGGCGACATGTAAATCAGTCAAAAATCTATCACGTTTACTCCCTAAATTTGTTTAGCGTGAATGATAATAATTTTCATTGCCCCTGGTTGCATGTTTAGCTTTCGCCTTCACTTTTTCTTTTTATTCTCTATTGTTTAAAATTGAGCTTCATTTTGCACGACCTGGCGTACTTCGTGTAATGTGAAAGACGTCGCATACAACATATCTGACTACCAGCAAGCGCATCGGAAACCCGCTGTGCTATAAGAAAGCTGGGAGTAAAACTTTAAGGGTATTGAATTACTTGTTACTGTTACGTTGCTGTCCTCTTAAAAAACTCGAGTCCACAAGGTTGGCATGCGTGGATAAATAATTGAAAATCGCACGACGGGAGACTGATTTATACGGAAGCCCCCTAAATTTGCCGCGATAGCTTTTTGTACACTTGAAGTGTGGATTCTTTTCAGTCCTTAGTAGTTTGATACGGCGTACTGTTTATATTTGTATTTGTTTCGTTCTTGTTTACTCGAAATTGATGGTGTCTCATGGTGTTTTGAGTATATAGATATTCAATAGGTATGACTTTAAATTTGGTTGCTACCAGCTGTTCGACTTAGTGTTGACCGCGACAGAAGAAAGGCCATTGACAACACTTTTATTTTTTCCGATTTTTTAAAATTAAAATAAAAAGGTAAGCATCTATTAATACGGTCACTATGTTCTCATGACGAATTATTCCTCAAAGATTAACAAGTGAGTTTTATCCCCGAACGAAAAGTGTTAAACATGACATGTTCTTTCATTGCAGAGGTTATCAAAATAATCTTTTCGGCGATTTTAACATCTTCCATTTTACTGTCAAAACATGGTGTTATGAGAGTTTAAAAGGTGGAATGCGGGTAGAGATTTTATTTTAGCCAGCGCAATGACTATTATTATCAAAAACACACTCCATTTTCTTTGACATAATCTGCGTTCAAATATAGCACCCTCAAATTATTTTACTATCATCAATATGGATATACACCAAACGTGTTTTGACATTTGTAATTTCTTAGTTCAAAGACGGTGAGGTCGTCATTATGGTGATAAAATTTGAGTAAAGTATTCGTGAAACATGCCCACCTCTCATTTTTTTCAAGATGGTCATTTTAATTACCACTTTGTAAATGGAAAGCACCGCGTTCACCACGCACGTTTACCTGATTCGATCAAGAAAACGCGCGTGACTCCGGTTAACAATCCCTCTATGTGTTTAAAAATCACACGCGCTAACTAGCGGTAGATGGGATTGATAGGGACACCTCAAACCCGCGGTTAATTCTCTGTTAATTCTATACCTGAGAAAAGCACGAAGGTAATGGAACAAAACGCCGGTGAAAGGCCGTCATTGTTGATCGTAGGTAGGCGGGGGTAGATTGGGCTAGATAGACAAGTCTGGACCCACGACGTAAGACTTAAGCGTGTGAAAAGAACAATATGGCGTGCTCGTTGATCGTGTTTTACAGAGTCACTTTTCCTCTCGAAAGAAGAATGTCTGGGAATTCCATCGTGAAAACAAAAGGATATTATCTTCGTTTATGTTCTGTTCAAATCTTCGAAATTTTCGGTCCTATTGTGGATAACACGTATCTTTTCTGTCGACGCATCTTGTCAATTATTTGATTGAATACGAATTATTATCGCTCCTTTTATTAAATTTTTAAAGGGCACACGTTGAAGCTGTTCTAAAACGAAAATGTTATTTTTGAAATGAATTAATTTGTATGGATAGAAGTTTTAACTATAGGCAATTGGTAGTGCCTCTTCTTTACATTGAATCATAAAACGGAATAGCATCATGTTAAATGAGTTTTAAAACCATATGATGACATTAATGATGCGAGAAACCAAACACAGTCCATACCGGGGCTTTTACTTTACATATTCACTTCTTAAGGACTGGGTATTAATGCAGTTAATCTATTGACAACCTAAGAAGCATGGCATGCTATCGGTACCGACGTCTTCCACTTCATTTGTATTCGCTTCCGTCACGCTCCGAGCTTACACGAAGCCCATACCGTTGTTTTACGGCTTTAGTGCTTGGTCGTGAAAGAAAGAACCGGTGGTGGCCGGAGGGCGGAATGCGCATGGGGCAATATTTGTCAGAGAAGATGCTTTTGTTTTTAGGAGTGTAATTAAACGCAGGCAGATTTTTTTTGTATTTTCTTAGAGGAGATATTTGGCAAGCTGCATTGCATACATTCCGTGCGTTCTTATGCCGCAAATAGTTCTGCCCGACGATTAAGTAAGACGGATTCCTCATTCCCGACCGTTTCAAATGTAAATCATCGTAATGCAGTTTTTGAAGAATCATGAAAGACAGACAGTAAGACAGACAATAAGGTCTATTAATAATACATATTGCAATCAAGTTACTTAAATTGACTGCATTTGTAGCTGAATATAACATCATCCGAAAAAATGTAGAGCTATTTACGCCATTAACACGTATGTCCTTGGGTTTCCTTTTTGCGACATAATCAGAAAAATAAACTCTGACAGGAAAGTACACTACTATACGATATGTAGTATGGTTGGATTTCAATGATTTAAAATAAAGTTTTATTAACTCTTCAAAATTCATCCACCTTATTGTTATTTGGGATAGGTGAATAAATACTCTCGTATATTCTTAACTACCCTTCTTATTTCTCCAAGGTCACGTGACACGCGACGCCCTATACAACAGACTGAAAAATTAATAGCTTTAAAAAGAAACCAACATGGACCTTGCTTTCAGGATTTTACCATCTTGCTTTCCGGCATGCGTTTCTGTCGAAGTCGAGGGAATCTAATACGTACAACCACCAATGCAAGTAAAAGAGGGGTCTTAAAATAATGCAAATTAGTGTATTTACTACTATACAGGGCATTCGTGCGTGGAAGAGTGAAGCAGTTTACCTAGAGTCGTTTGTGGGGAAATAAACATCAGTATTTTGATCTTGGTCGTGGCAACAGGCCTGTTAAGAATCCATGCCAGGCAATTCTCATAGTCTTAAAAAAGGACAATTCCCATGGTCCGTTTTTCCCGTTTGGTATTTTAAATAAAAAAGTCGGTCATTATTAGAAATCAGCAAAAATAAATGACACGAGCAAAATGAACAGATGTCCCAGAACCCTGTTTACCGGCCTTAGAAGTAAAAGTAATAACTATCCTTGAGGAAAAAAATAATCATAATTTTTATCGTAACCGGCGCTTGGGCCTCTTCGAAACGGGATGAAAACAATAAGATATGGTCTGTTGGCCGAGCTGATCACCTGTTGAGATTTGAAGCCCTGTATTTAACGAAAGGTTAATATCATCTGATTATAGAGAAAAATCCGCAGCGATGACGGGCGCTAAACAGTTTGATTGTGTCGAATCTTTGGGAAAATTAAGCGCTTGAACGGCCAGAACAATGGTCAAGCAGTGTGGTCAAGATCTGTTGACCTCTCTATCGGGCCGTGTCACGGTAAATACACAGGCTTGGCATGGCCAGGATCTGATAAGACGTCATCACGATCGGTAGGGAGGAATTTTCCCACATTGTTCCGCGTGATAGGCATCGCGTTAACAGTTGACTTGTCTCATTAAGGTGCTCGTTGACGGGTGATGAATGACCAGCCAGTGTCATTGTTTTGTATTGGGACTGGGAACCGCACGAGACGTGTTTGTATACTTGTGCATGTCCGCTCGTGCATCCGCTCGCGTGTTAGACCTACGTGCGTTTCGACGATGACTTGCGTGTGCACTGTGCATGTTGAGTGAGTCGGTAAAAAACTGAATTCCTAGTTCCACATAGGACAGAAAAATGAGTGCTTGTTATGAGCTGAAGGAAAAAAAGGTTTTCTTTCCTTTGGTTTCTAACAAATTCATTAAATTTGACACTACCCAGATCGTGGTCTTTATGTTGCATCGAACTGATACCTGTATGTGCCATGGACACTTTATTTCTTCAAAGTCGTAACAAGGAAGATACGCTGAACATAACGCCTTGTGTGTACTACTGAACGCCTACGCATGCACACAAACAAACGACTGAAGTCTACCATATTTTACGCGCGTACAGTTCTCGATATAAATCCCTTTTCAAAGTCAATTACAAATCATACGTTTTGTACGCCCGCACAAGTTAAATAAGTGCATCTAGATTAACCATAAAAAAGTTGAACAAATTTGAATGCACCCCAATTTAAGGTATCGTATATTCAAACTTTATTCTGGTGAATAAAACATGATCAGCAATCTTGTCATGCGGGTTGCTCGCTTTGTACCTCAAAAAAATTCACGGTGAAAAGTAATTTACCAATTCTCGAAGAAACGTAGCAATGAAAGAGTTTCCTGCATGATTTCCCCTTTTACATATTATTTTGCACAGGTTTTGTATTTTGTCTGGACAAAAAATTGCTTGAAAGCTGTATTTTGGTTTATGCGGCATAATTTTGACATAACAAGCAATAAATGCCCGTACGTGACATAAACGTTTTGCGTCAGAAGTGGCTCTTGAATTCTCTTTTTACGCAACGAATAATAATCTATGTCTTAACGTTCTTAAATATATAAAGATGTTCGAACGACATTTTCTCGGTAAACAGGATATCCCGTTGCACGCAATATTGTAATTAACGGTAAAAACATACCCTCTGTCACCGAAAAGGCGACTTTTGTGTATGGAAAAGCGTCTTTTGTATTTTTTTTATGGTAGCATTTGACTAAGATCGATGTTGATCTTGAGAAAGAGATGGGTATACTATTTCATGATTATGATGTGTTTATTTTGAAATCTAATTACTTATATGTATGGCGCTGATATTCGTGCCACATTTTTACGTTATTTGACGTGATTCTCATAATTATTTTACAGAACATTCTGCCATGGAAGATCTGCGGACCAGAAAACCTCACACAGTTTCACCGCCTGGTTCAAGAGACAGAACGCCGTCAATCTCGCCCGTGTCTCTAGTCAGCGAGCATCGTGTCACCCCCAGCGGTTTGAGCATCCCTGCTCCTTTCTACCCCGGCCTCTGCGCTCCGAAACCAGTGTTCCCCCTCGACAAAAATTCAAACTTCATGTCCATGGCCGCAGCATCGCCCTATTATTCACCCTACATCCCCACGTCGATGATGGACCACGCGGCGATGCAATACAAAGCGCTTGCCAACAGCAACGAGAGTTTACTCTCGTGGTGGACCATGCAGAGGCTGATGACGTCACCGCTGGTACAGTATCCCGGATTACCGATGTGCCCACTTCCCGCCTTGCCGACTTACAAACACCACGAGGTCCCTATTCCCCACCAGCCGCCTGTCTCCAGAGCGCCTACCAGGTCCCTTTATGAGACCCTTCCCAAGCACATTCCCATTATGCCACTTCCGGTAAGCATTTCCGACAATGTCAGTATTTTCAGCCTTTGACAAAAGGCATTTTCCAGATTGATCTTAAACTTTGAATGCAATTTGACCATCTTCATTCCTACAACGCTATATCTATTTTAAGCTACAACGTAAACATTATTATTATTTAAATTTTTATGTTTTAGGTACCTAAAGTGGAGTTGGTAAATGGTGGTTACGGAATGAAGAACCCTATGATGACTCAAGCACATGCTGAACTAGTCAGCCAGGAGCTGGGGAAACTTGGTATGATGAATTTTAATATTATGCGTGACTTGAAATTAAGTTTTAAAGGCGCTGTGTTGTTACCTAGGGTCTATTTCACAAACGAAAGTAAAATTAAACATTGAGTCTTTGGCTAAAAGTTGTCTTCTTTGACTTAAGAAAAATCACTAGTGGTGCAATTAAATTGAATAATAATAATAAGAAGAATCGGCTACTTTTTTAGACTAAACATAACACTGTGTAAGTGGACTGACAAATGTCAGACCAAAGTAATTTTGTGTAATGTCCGTGACTATACTTTGTTCCATTATCAGTGTTCCTTTCGTTGAAAAGTAGTTGCCACGATTCTTTTCTATTTTAATAAGATAAGAAGAATCCCTTATTCTTCTAAGATTTTATGTCCTATTTTTTTTTTACTAGGCGCACAAACAGAAGACAACAAGTTCGTCTGCCGTGTTTGTCAGAAAGTGTTCCCATTACAACGCCTCCTGAACCGCCATCTTAAGTGCCACAGTGACATCAAGCGGTACCTGTGTACATTTTGTGGAAAAGGATTTAACGACACTTTCGATCTGAAACGACACACACGAACGCATACGGGTAAGTGGTTTGCACCTGCAACTATAATTTATATGAAAAAAAAACAATAGAACTTTTGAGCAAAGGATTGCAAATAAATACATTTCCTTGGGCATTTTAACAATTCTTTTATTCTCGCGCAATGGCATACCCTAACCAAATGCGTCGAGGAAATCACGATTTATAAACCTGTTCAAAAAAGTAAAATTCACCAGTATCTCTCTCTTTGTTGAGAGAGTGAATCAAAATCTAAAAAACTCAGACCACAATGGTTTTTGAATCGTTATTCTGTAAACGATTTCTGGTATGGTATACCTTGGTGCTCAAGGGTACAAGTTGAAATTCCCAGGCACATATAAAGTCCGCTATTTTAAGATCTAACGCGCTCATTTAGCAAGATATATTAAGAGCTTCAGTTTTCAACCGGCGAATTAAAGCAATTGTTAGTGTGTCTGTGTATGTGTGTGTGTGTGCGCGCGCGCGTGCGTGCGTGTAGGGGGGTCAATGCATTTTGTATGGATGTTTCGGGTTAAAGGTTTTTTTGTGTGAATATTGTATTATATTTTAACGAGCTTTATAATGTGTGGTAGTGCTATGTAAAAATGTGTGAGGCCAATTAGATAAGATGTTTATGTCACCTGAAATATCACGGTTTTCAAGTTATAATTGATGCATCTTTAAAATCAGATCTTTTTTTTTAACGTTCAACTATTTGCACCTATTAGGCAAAGACGGAATTCTGGACAGTACCATTTTTGACTTTCTGAACTATCTTAGATTTGTGACACGTTTACAAATCGACCCGTGCTTATACGCAACCTAATAGCTAATTACAAGTTTGACATTCTTTTCTGCATTTAATCTTGTAGTTAAATTGTCATATAAATCGAGGCGTGTTTGAAAATAAAACAGTTTCAACAAGTTGCGTTGGGCGGATCTCTGGGTATTCCATGTGATGGAAAGAAGTTGTCCTCAAAATAATTAACTGTGACGCATTAACCGACACGTTTTTCCATAAATGCCACTGTAAATTACCACACATAGATATTAAGCAAAGTATTAGCAGTCTTTACATCCGTTATATTCACGTTTATGTTGACAACTAATTCCCCAAACCGCAACTGCCTTTGCGCTTCATGAATCTTAGAGGTACTTTTACGTTTATGACATACATGATATGTGTTAACGGACCGGGGTGCCGAATATCGACTTCTGAAAACTTTCCCTGTGCTCTAGATTCAGCGATTAGCTGTATGGTGGCTTTATTTTGTGGTCGAACTTTAACATCTAAAAATTTACTGCCATTGGCAGGACGCATGGGGACGCTATTTTTAAGCACTGTGTTTTTATGTTACCTGTGGCCGCTTACCAAGGTGAAATGAGAGATGGAAGCGGATGTTCATCCATAAAACTGATTTGTAATTGTCTTACTTTGATTTATTCAATCATGATGAAACAGATTCATGACTCCCCTAAGCAGTACAATTTTTCTATTATTTTTAGCTTCATAAGGACTTGTGTCTTAGATAGTCCATCGCACGTTTCAGTTGAAAGCATTAGAAGCATAAGTGTAAAATGAAAATATATTAAGTTATTTTACAACCATAAAAACTGAAAAACAACTTATTGAATTGTATTACATAATACAGGTGTCCGTCCCTACAAGTGCAGCCACTGCGACAAGGCGTTCACTCAGCGGTGTTCCTTAGAATCCCACTGCAGGAAAGTCCACGGCATCACATTCGAGTACGGCTACAAAGAGAGGCGAGGGAAGATGTACGTCTGTGAGGACTGCGGGCACACCACCTCCGACCCAGAGGCCTACTATGAACATCTCAAAGAAAACCATCCTCACAGTCCGGCCCTGTTGAAGTGTTACGACAAGAGACAGTTCAAATTTAGTAACGACAGGATTCCGTCTTTGCTGGAGACGAAAGGACAGATTGCCGAGAGAGTAGTATGATGTAGTATAATACAGTTTACATGTAGTGTAGCATAAATATACAAAGGCAGCCTTCTTATTGTGAAAGCAATACCCGGTGCAATTGGTGCTATTAATTGTCAACTTATATGGGCTTCAACCAGCAGTTTTCGATTGTTTATCTTTTAATTTAATTCTCCCATTATTTTTTCCCAATGATTTCACATTTAGCATAGGCAGAGCAAGCTAGGGTATTTTTTTGTTCCAAACGTCAGTCGATGCAGACGTACTTGTAGATACCCCTGGGGCCAAACTTAATAACAGAATTTTTTTTCAAGATAGGCGAAGGTAGTACAATCAGAAGACAAGATAATGGAAACTGTTGATACAATATATTTGTTGTTGATATAATTAGAAATTAGATAATAGCTCATCAATGCCATGTATTTACAGAAACTTTGATTAGTTGTTTTTTTCTTTAGTCAATTAAACTAATTGATTTATCGGTCTTATTTATGTAAAAACATGGTAAAGTGACTGGCAGGTTCAGGGGTTTATTTTGCTCATTTCATTTTCTGTGTGTTATTAGTAAATGCTATATTTGTTGTGCATGTGGAGTCAGTGTGCAGTGTGGCATTAGAATCAAAAGTCTAATATTGGATTTCGCAGTCACCGTGACATCAAAATACGCGTCTGACGTCATACGCCATATGACGTCATACAAGCGGTTAAAACTTTGTACATAACAAGTTATTTACATACTATTAGTTATTTGTTGTTGGTTTTTTCAAATAGTTGCTTTTTATGTGTATGACGGAATACTTATGACAGAATGCCTATATGACATCAAGCGAATTTTACTAACACAATTACTTGCAGTTTTAAGTTTATGATGTTTACATTTGGTCATTAGTTGAATGATATAATATCCAAATATTGGTACATGTTCATTTAAGGATAATGGTGTTGTCCTCTTTTAAGTGATCATTGCTATACAGTGAACGTGCCCGATAGCTGAGTCACGTTAACCTAGAGTAGTTAGTTGACATTAAAAAAACCCTTCAAGTTACATTTAAAGGAAAAGTACCTTTTGGACAATGTTTACTATAATTTGACAAATCTTTAAACTGCATAGTGATGCTCTCATTACGTATGGGCGGATTGAAAGAGATTGGATATTTAAGTGAATCATAATGTTGGTACCACCCATAAAGTACACATTATTTCCGCCGTGGCATGTTGAATACCACGTTACTATAATTGCCGTACTTTAAGGCTGTTACAAGCATCACGACAATAAACAAAGCTTTTTTTTTACGTTTTAACTTAATAGCAGTGACTATGTTGTGAAAATAATTGTACATGACTTCAGTGACGGACTTTTACACGGACTCTAGGGCTTCGAAAAGCATTGTAATGAAAATCAAAATGCAAAATGATTAATCTCGTGTTATTTTAGAAGTTTAAAGCACGAGGGAAGTTGTATATTTTAAGTGTGCCGGTGATGTGCAATTAGCAATATTCTGTGCTTCTTCATCTCTATATGTGAAAACCTGTCATGGGCAATAACATTATATGAGCATATGTGAATATATAAGTATATGTTCAATTATATTTATTTTGATTTGGGAGGAAGCAGTCCCATTTACAGGTGTATTCCTATGATGATATTGAATATCTGTAATTAAATTTTTTTAGATATATCAAATTGCACTGTGTTTTTAGTCATTTGTCACAAATTACAGTTTCTGTTACGGTGTCGAGACATTTCGACTGGGCGAAAACTTTTTCAAAATACTTGTTTGACTTTGGTTACCATGTTAAATGCCAAATCTTCTTCTTCTTTTCCCCTCTCTCTCTCTCCCTCTCTCTCTCTCTCTCTCTCTCTCTCTCTCTCTCTCTCTCTCTCTCTCTGGTGCTAATGGACTAACCAAAAGCCGACCACACTTGAGAAGACAGGACGACCCGATCCTTTCCTTCAGGCCACGTGTTAGGGAATTCTCGTTAAAACTCCATTAAACGAACAACATTCCCGTTGGGAAAGAGATTATGGGCTTTTGAACATAACCGTTACATGGTACCGCAATCTTTTGGCAAGACATAAGCTATTAAAATTCTTATGGAAATGGTCTATGGCCATGAGATGAGGTCTCTTCACTAAGCGTGGCTGGATGCGCTCTCACTCATAGCTTAAGGCACAATGTTAATATCGTCTACTACTTAACGCACAGTTCGGTCAAATGAACATGAAACGCCGCCTCCTATTAACTTCATCATCTTTAAGCTGATTTTGGTTTTAACGATTCTGTAACAACATCATGCATTTTATGTCGCTCTCCTTTTGATGATTAAATTTCAATTAAACCAAAACATTACCGAGTTTATTTCTTTAAATGGTTTACATATGTTCGTTATTTATCTGATTGGGTAATGTTGATTAAGATGAACGGACCTGGCATGTAGAACCATCCATTAAAGGGATAACAATTGGTCGCTTTGGCAAAAAAATATTCTCCTGGGGTAAACAACAATTTTCCTATGCTTCCATTCCGACATTTAAAGCTAGTGTTTGTTTTTTTTAAAGTTTAGTTTTTGTAATAATCTCTTAAGGGATTGTTACGGAGGTATAGCCATCTATGAATGACCACGTGGTCTGATGACAAGCACAGATTTCAGAATAATTGGGATAACCGCTGTTTTGGTGGTAAAATGGAGTTTATTATATTTCTATGAGTTGTTGTCAATGTTTTATTGTGTATATGAATCTCAAACGAACAGTTGTTATCCCTTTAACTTCCCAAGGTTATTTAAGTCCCATTAACGACAACACGTAAGCAAGCACAACCCAACCAATGAAAGTGCTATAAAAGCAATGCCTTTGAATATGAAAGTAATCATAGGACTTAGGCAAAAAAAAAAAAGAAAGAAAGCACAATATACATTAACGGCGAGGTCAGCAAGAGTCCAGTCAGGCCCCAAGTACCTACCGCCCATGAAACGTCTTCGCCAAGTTTATCTATTTTGACAACACCAGCCATAATTCCAGACCGCAGGCCATTTTCATCGGAAACTTGCATAACAGGGTTACTCCTCCTTTTATCTAGCTGTCCTTTACCGAAAACTTAATTTATCGGGTTGGTGGTCCTAAAGGAAAAGATGCGCGTCCACAATTTGCCCTCTGTCCACTTACTCTGTGGCCACGTTTACAAGATATGATGAGACAGGACAAACGGATACCTTTACGTATTACAAGGAAACTATACTGCATATGTATATAGATAAGTGTAAATACGTTGTCACAGGCCAAAATTTGTGGTTGGAGCTCTACGACCCCGAGGTTTATTTCAGCAATCTAAGTATAATTTTAATGAAGTCACAAGTGGGTAATCCCAGTTAAATATGAAGCCTATGTGTGTAGTTTTCCAGAGTGCCGTTAATTTAACGTGAACATATAGTCTAATAGGTTAATTCACGCAACCTCCGCCCGCCCCCCGACGCCGGGCTGAGACACCAAATAACAAGACTCACTCAACATCCTCCTCCCCATCCCCCGATACCCTCATCCCCATTCCTTGAAATCCTCATCTCCATTCCTCAAAACCCTCACCCCCAACCCCTTAACACCTTCATTCCATCCCTTAACACCTTTATCTCCACCCCTCAACATCCCAGTCCTTCAACACCCTCATTCACTTCCCTTAACACTCGCATTCCCATCCCCCAACCCTCTCATCTCCATTCCTCAACACCCTTCACCTCATTCCCCAACACCCTCACCCCACCCCTTAATATCTTCATCCCATCCCTCATCATCCTCATCCCATTCCCCAACATCCCCATCTGCACTGCTTTTCAAACCCATAACCAGAGATGAAGCCCCTGTATAATGGCAAAGATATCTTCTTATATCCCAGTTACACCTTTGTGCATATCAAGCCCTAAAGGTTCCTTGTGAATTTCTCTTTTAATAAGCTGCCGTAAATTCATCAAAAGTTCCGTTCACGTAGGTGTCAATTAGACTTATTTAAAGGCTGGATGTGCATAAGTCAAAATAATCGAAAACCTGCGCAATTTAGTGCTTACGGCTGAATATTGAAAACAATTCACATAGCAGTAGAGCAGAAGTATGACAGGAGCTGATAATCGATTGAATATTACATAGGGGCCTGCAAGGGCGTTCACCTTTTTATTAATTTTTGTGTAATTAATTCTGTTCAAACCACTCCAAAAGCAAAGTAAGCTGATTTTATTTTCTTTTGACTCATGACGTTCAAGTTTCCATCACACAATCTACTTGTACTATAAATGACGTATTTGATTTAATTAAAGGTCCTTAGCATTCAAATACACCTGCGCGACGTCTTAGTTATCGTCTAATGAAGTTTTTCCGGGGACTTAAAATGTACACTGCTGCAATGATAATGTCATTGGTCCGTTTTCAACAGCGCACTGCCGAATGCGCTGGTATTCTTGGTACCACCAAATCTTTAAGCAATTCATGTCCTCTCTAATTAAGGAAGTGAAATATATTTCGAGCAGATTGCGTCAGTTTTTTTATTGGCTCTTTTTTAAAGAAATTATTTTCGGATCAGAATGTGCCTGTATGTTGGAGTTGGCAGCTGAGCAGGGCTCATAGATAAATGGCAGAGTGACATAAAAGCCATCTGGCGGAACCAGAATTTTGCTATGGGGGTTGCTGTGTGGGAGCGGCGCGCACAAAATAAATTATGCCTCTCTTCGGTATTAAAAGATAGACAAGGACACTTGTCTACATCACATGAGGGACACCGGCATGGAAAATGTCTGGCAGTATTTTTTTTTTTTTTTTTTTTTTTTTTTGCGGGGGAGGGGGAGAAAAGATAGTGCCACAGACGTTAAGGAAGGGGGTACTTGCTGGCTTTGTTCTTCTCCCTAGCTTAGATATGATATTGCTTAAAAGAGGGTCGCCTTCAAGAGAGTAGGCGGCGGTGGTGACCCAAGTCCCCCTTCTTTATGAACATTGAGGGCAATGGTGTATAACCTGAGAAAGCATCTCACAACTTATACGTGTCAGTAACTCAAAAAAATTCCAAAATTCGTTAAAGGTACTGTTGTATCGGGCCATTCTGCCGTGAGTCTTGTTGTGTGTAAAGTCATTTTTCATCCCGAGTTTAGGTGCGTTGTTCCGGCTGACTACTTCAAAGTCGTCTTAGTTATAATAGATGGCTACATTCACACACCCAGTGCAATGTGTTCACTCACCCTAACAAGGCATGATCAGGTCAGAGATAATATAAACCGATTAGTGTCTACATGACGTCACGCGCTTGTTTCCAGAAAGTCGAAAACCGTCGTTGGCAAGGAATGCTTTTAACCCACACAGAAGCGTTTCAGTAAGATTCTATGCAGCTTGCTGCGTCATTTCAGTCTTTTAATTGAGCCTCTTGCGCAATAAGTGGTTTCTTTGACAATCATTAGTTATATGTTATAGTTTGTACTGCCAGACGTTCATTTTATAACATGATTTGTTTTGAGTTCATACTTTGTAAAAACGTTCCAAGACTAATATTACAAAAGTTGATTAAAATTACGGAGTTTGCTATCAAATTGGCTAATATTTAGTATAGGCCGATTTTTAAAAAAAATTTATTCCATTTAATTCCATTTAATTTGCTTTCTATTAATTAATAAATTAATTTATAAGTAAATTTACTAATTAATTATCTTTTTAAGTTTGACTTTATTGTCTACAGATACTAAATATCTGAAATTAGGGTTTTAAGAAATATTGGCGTCAAATAACGTCAGCTGGTCTATTTCTTGTTTCAGATTATATGGTTTTCTAACACATAATCTTTTCTTATGCTATACTCATTTCTAGAAAATAAATAATGTCATAGTATTATATTCAACAACAGAACATTTCTGGGCACACCAACTTGACCCTTTTTAGAATCTTAAAAGATTCTACATGGCATAGTCACTCACTCGCTTTTGGTGGATTACAGACCAACTTTTAGAAAAACACTGACAAATAAATACCTAATAGCGATAATGAATAAAGAAACATAGCAAATATGCTACAACTGCATTCCCTAAAGGTGAATATGAAACGCAGTCAGATGGGGCCCATTGTCAATTCGAAGAAAGTAAAAAGGGGGCACATGAAAAGTACAACTAACATAGATGTGAACTCGGCCTTAACAGTTCAACATTGTCTAAACCATTTTTATCACAGGGACTTGGTGCACGGTTAAAGATAATCCTGTTGCCCGATATCGTGACCAAAGCCATTAGCAGCGTGTAGCGGTAGAATACGAGAATAATGTTACTCACCGACAGCGTATCTAACAGCTGTGTACTTAAGGCCCGTTTCCAGTGAGGGTAGATCGACCTACTTTAGTACGATCCACCTCATCTAATTGTAATTATGTCATCATAGAGGGTATACCTAATCCCCCCATTGTCCCACGAAAGGCTATATGATCGAGGAGTGTCGCATACGGTTAGAGTAGGTACCTATGGTTTGGCGTCCTGAGATAGGTTGGTCCAACGCCAGTGGAAACAGGCCTCGGGCTATGTACCAGAATAAGGCAAGTCTTATGATTTTGAACTCGGTGCTTTGGTAAACTACCCCAGTTTTTACTGATCATGTATCATTCAAATTAGAATCCGCATAACAATTTTCATGGCTGTTAATTTTATGGTAGTCAAAACGGAAAGGTCAGATTCGTTACTGATGATTATACTTAAAATAGAACACATAGAAACAATGGAAAATTAAAAGCAAAAGAAATGAGAAAAAAATGGTTACAAATGGCAACACTGACTCTTAAGGTTTTTTTAAAAGTGTTTGATCTCCGGTTTCTTATAGTGGTGCGGAATATCGAACATTACACTGAGCACCTCTATTTTATTATTACCAGCAAAAACCGTCCTGCAAGTCACACTATCAAGATCTGACACACCTCCTCCTGGCGCTGAGCAGAGTACAGAGGAGCTGGTGATTGACACAGATACGTTAAAAATGTTAGGGCCCCTTAATTCTGCTAATGGGATTGCATTCAGCGATAATCCACGTGGAGTTAATGCGCACTAGCTATTGCGACTTAACTCATTCTGAGAGGCCCCTGCGTTCCCTGTTCCGCGCTGTCTAACGCACTCCCATTACATGTGATCGGATCCCGTGTGTACAATTCATATTCGGTATAAGCCGGTCATGTTTCGAGCCTTGAAAAGATTAACATTTGATTCTGTTATAAAGGCATCCTGTCATCCAGAGGAGGGTACCTTAGGTTGGATGACCTGGCATTACGAAATAAATATATATTATTAACAATTAGTGGCAAACTTCCCTGATTAAGAGAAGGCTTCATAATTGAAATTCCGCTCTACATGTTTGATTTTAGAAATATAAGAGTTTCTATTTTCTTGTTATTATACAGATGATTTTCACTAATATATCTTCAATGGTGTTCGTTGTTCCACTTTTTATATGTACATATAAAATAGGATATTTTCGTCTTAATTCTTGGTAGAGACAAATGCAACGAAAGAATGGGCTTTAAAAATTTGTCATTATAACAACTTTAAAACAGGTAAACGCTAACTTAATTACAATTTGTCTGGTTTAAATATATTTCATCCTATTTATCTGCTAAATGTATTTTTAATTAGTCTTTAATTGCGTCATGGTCTAGACTAGGGCAACGGTTGAAGTTTTAAGGGGTACTTTCGAAACTGAACATGGTCGAATTTTAAAGTTGTTCTTATTCGTTTCTTTTCATCTTAAGCTAAAGATGCGTCAGCGTTTCAATATCTTTATCAGGTAAATGTAATCCTAAATTTTGCAGGGTCCATAATACATTCCAGATTTTACGAATGCTAATTCTTTAGGTCATAAATACATTTTAAAGGCTTTTAGAACACGTACATGTCCTGAATAAGGTTGGTGGCCACTTGTTAATTGTTGTGAAAATAAAGGTCAACTCCATCGGTTTGAAAATCCCCAAAATGCATATTTTGGCCTTCACAGCTTCTTACAAAACCTTGCATACACCTTTAAATTATTTAACCCCTTAAATGTTTTTCTGGTCGCTGTTATCATGACTGGCCAGTCATTTTAAGCTAAAATCAACCTTTATAAATTTTATCAAAGGTCGAATCCAAGTACAGAGGGAGATAGATTAATGAGAACGAGAAAATTGTTTATTTTCCCAGGAAAATCCATTTTGGTGAGTAAATTTTATGGAGTGTACCTTTAAGGGCAGCTCTAGCACTTTTACATTAATTAATTTTAAATGGGGAATACTCAACTTAGACACTAAAATACAATAATAATGTGGCAATTCTCTAATCATCCGAAATTTCGTACACTTAATTTCTATATTTTAGTATGAAATACCTTTGGAACATGTGAGAAGACAAGTTCAGAGAGAGAGAGAGAGGGAGAGGGAGAGAGAGAGCTTTATTAATAATAACACAAATATATATACATAAACAACAAAGGCAACAACATATGTTTCAGAAAAATTTATTGCAGAGGGGTATAGCTCTACAGCATTCTACAAGCCTTGTATTATTGCACCGTCCGGCCGATGTGTAGTAACTGAAGCCATCTTGTCCAACCCACGTCATCTATTCTATTCATGGGAAGCTCGAATATTTAATGCATCTATCTCAAGTTTGGCAAATTGGAGATAACCCTTATATATATATCAATCTGTGCTGTTGGTGAGATTGTGTAATCTTTGTGTATATTAATACAAGTTCGCCAGGTTATAAGCAATGTAATGTTTCTAAATTATTCTGTGTCATCGAAAAAATAATTATCGTTTTGAAAACTAAACCTAGCCATAAAGAGCTTTGTCGATAAGCTGTGATCGAATAAATCAGTAAGGCATTTCTTCTAACCACCAGCAGGTATCTGTGATAATAACTATTTTCAATGAGAGGATAAGCTTGGTAATTGTTTTCAATCGTACTATTACTACATTTATATACAGGTTTGACATTCAACTTAAGTTGTGACTGGGAAACATTCTGGTATTACATTTTATAAATACTACTATTACTACAATATATATATATATATTACATATTTTGACATGTTTTGCATTGAAGTGACCGATAACATTATATATTTCACTATTTCTCAAATATTGCACAATGGCCGGAGAAGCCAACTTAGTAGAAAAACATAGTGTAACACTTTTTAAGTGAAGCGCCTATTGTTAGAAATTGTGTCTAGTCTACTCTTCTATGATTCTATCAATACTAGTCAATCAATATTACCGTTTTCACAAATATTGAAATCTAACTTTTTATATATTTCTCATTTTGGAAGGGTATTCTATAGAAATTGCATATTTATCTAATGTTTGCCTACCTATACCACATAAGCACCATGTGTCAGAGATTAAATAAGTAAATTAAAGCCTAATTGAAGAGATAAGAGAGAAGCACCAATGAGTCAGGGTCGTTATCCAGACAAAGTTTGTTGTTTTTAGTTTACATCTAGATCTCATCTAAAGGGGTTTCTGGTTATTAAGTGAAATATTTTGTTAGACTACATTATCTAAACAGTAGACAAACTACGGACGCATCTACACCCGGGTATTAACACGGTTGGGAAAATCGTCTGCTAAATTATTGCACTTATTGCCGGTCCAGTGCTACAAAAAAGGTATATGTCTAAGAGCTACCTATTGCAAATGCTGGGAAACACACGCGGTCTTTATGGCATTGATGAGATATTTTACAAATAAGTGAATTACACAATAAATAAAAATATATACAAAATACATTAGTGAATTATAGTCAGGCTTAGCCTGCGTGTACAATTTCCTGTGAACGTGTCGCCATTATGTCCATGCATTGTGGGAACGATCTGACATCACATAGAATAGTGTTTCTTTGACCAAGTCGCCTTGAATGATATACAGGACTTTTTTAAGAGCAGCACTTTATCCTGAAGTGTCTATCATCTTACTCCACGAGTGTAGGGATTTTGTCACTTTGAAATTTGAATTGCCTCTTATCGTAACATTTGAGCAGGGCGGGGCTGTGCGGATGGTTTTCCTTCAAATGCATATAATGCTTCTCTGGGTTCCTTGTCGTATGGCCACAGTCTTCGCAAACGTACATTTTGTCTCTCCTTTCCTTGTAGCCAAAGTCAAACGAGACACCGTGCACTTTCCTGCAGTGGGACTCCAGCGAACATCTCTGTGTAAAAGCTTTGTCACAGTGGCTGCACTTGTAAGGGCGAACACCTGTAAATACAAGATAAATAATTGGAATCAGTTCAGTGATTCTTTACGAATTATTCAGGTCCAGTTATTGAGTTCTTCCACTCAAAAAGGAACGTTGTATAATATCTCCTTTTTCATCTTAACAACCATCCGTTACTAACACCACTAGAAACGATTGATATAGGTTTATAATTCTTTATGTAACATAATGCATTTCGGGGTTAAAACCACTTACCCGTATGCGTTCGTGTGTGTCGTTTCAGATCGAAAGTGTCGTTAAACCCTTTTCCACAAAACGTACAAAGGTACCGCTTGATGTCACTGTGGCACTTAAGATGGCGGTTCAGGAGGCGTTGTAATGGGAACACTTTCTGACAAACACGGCAGACGAACTTGTTGTCTTCTGTCTGTGCGCCTAGTTTGCCTAATTCTTGGTTAACTATTTCACTTTGTGCCTGCGTCAACAGCGGGTTCTTCACGCCGTATCCACCATTTATCAACTCAAACTTTGAGGACTAAAGAGAAAAAGAAAGAAGCATTAAATATGAGGGTTTTTGGTGACAAACAGTCTTTCCTTGTAGATATTTTTCATTTTTATATAGTGAATTCATGCTATGTTACTACTACTGCTCAGAGATATATTTCAAATTGACAACAGGTTTGGTTTTGGGCGTGATGTCACACTGATGAAGTGACGCCACACTGAGTAAGAAATGACGTCATCGCTATATTTACCGTGTAAACTTACCGATTGAGGAAGTACGTGCACCGGGACAGGCTTAGGAAGACCGTGAAACATGACAGGAGGTGCTTGGGGCAAGGCTGGGGACAGTCTTGGCATGAACATTTCAGGAGGCTTGAAATATGGCGTCATGAACGGAGACATGGTCATTTGGAACTTGGGCATGGGTGCTGCCGCTGGTTGTGTCATTTCCGGGCTGGTCACGCCCACGCCCACGCCACTGCTTGTTGGGTGATTGACAGGTTTCTTGGGGATTGAGTAGTCCAGGGGCATGATAGGGTATTGGAAGTATGGCGCGTAGTAAGGCGAAGGAGGTGCTACCATGTTCAACAAGTTACCGCTCTTGTCATATGGCAATATCGGTCTGCAGTGTGCGGCTGGTATGGGAACTTCTGGTAGAGAGGTCCTGCTCTCGTTCGCTGGAGAGGAAGGCTGGGTAATTGGGGACCAGATGCGTTTTGATTTCGCAGGTTTTGTGTCTGAGTTGGCGTCGGATGGTGGTGCGGTCGATGCTGGCGTTGACCTTTCTTTCGGACTCGCCATCTGCTCAGGTGATTGCTCTAAAAAATAAATCATGACTCGATAATAGTTACGGTTACTAAAAATATTGAGGTGAAAAAACGAGCACATGCATTCATGTCAATAAAATATGATACAAGCAGCATCACAATTGCAAGCAACAAATCGATTTCGTTTGAAAGCTGACAAAAATATAGCTGTACATTAACTGTTCTTTGAGCGAAATTTGGCACTTGACATTCTTTGTTGTATTATTCCTTCTGATATATGCACGTCAAAAACGTGTGTAAAACATGGTCTATCAAGTCACGGGGTCAAGCGAAACCATTTATGAAAAAACATATAAATATACACCTTGAAGTAAAATAACAATGTTCGTACTAACATGCGGGTGAGGCAATTTTCTCGCTGCGAAACAAGTTGTTTGAGATATGCACACAGGCTCGAAATTCAAGCACCAGAATTTAAGTCTTAATCAAAAAACTTTTACGTTTTGGATGTTACTCCTATTATATTTTTAAGATTTTCAAAAATAAATCATAAATATGGCTGAAATTTCTTTGGAAAAAATTCAATCTGAATTTAATCTTGAGAGAAACCCTCATGTATACTATTTCTAACAAAGACCTAGGAGGAAGGCTCTAGCACAATTCATACCGACATTTAACGAAACCATGAAGTTGCGGTGTGTCAACGCCGATGACAAACCATGCGTGGCCATCTTAAATTCATCTTAACCAGCGTTCCCCTCCTTATTAGCGCGGTCATTACCCAGATAGCGTATGTCTCAGTAACACGCGCTATATAGCGCATACTTCTAGATTAAATCGCAAGTGTACTTCGCTCCTACAATACCATTCTTGTTCTGGTTCGTCACAGCCGTGGGATAATACCCACCGTTACACCGATTCCGTTTAATTCGCTCTGTTATTTAATCTTGTTAATCTACAGTAGCGTTTATCAACTAATCGGTTTGCGTGTGTCAGTCACGGTTATGAATGCGCGCTTCTTTCGTTAATCACTCCCTTTGTTTTTGACACTAAGATTATCATGTGTAATCCGTGGGAATAGCACCTATGGTTTCTGAAGAACACAAGAGCTGAAATTGACCGACGTGAGGGTGGTATATATGCACGGTGGTTGAAGGCACGCTTTTGTCCACAAGTGTCTAATTAAAGGTGTTAATCTGCTGTTTTAGATTGTATCCCAACGGGTTATTATTTCTGTACATTTAGAGTCAGTAAGACGTCGCAATGTTATAATTTTGTAAACGTATATTTAAACAAAGCTGTAAGATTAATATGATTATATCAGTGCATGAAATGTATAAATGAGTTCAGGGAGTTAAATTTCTTTAATACTAAGCAAATTTATCATTTTTGTTACTATAATAATAATTATTATTATTATAAAATAGATGGTTTTAGAAAAAATTGGACAGAGAGCAGGCAAATTCATAATGTCAACTAACAATGAAGGTGAACGGTTAGACGCAATTTCACGTACCTAAGCCATCGCCTTATAGTCTTTTAACAATACTACGGTAATCTGCCTCATAATGGCTTCAAGGTCCGGAAGACAGAAAATAAGAGACCAGTTTCTTTTTTCACTTTCACAAGATCACGAGATCGAACCGCATGGTGTCATGAGATTTGGTCCCAAGACACTTACCAGATATGCGATTACATAACTATGTCGTTTCCCCATAGGCGAAATTTGTCTTATCTCCTAACATAAGCTGGTAAAGGTGGTAAATTATGACAATAAACGATAGCTTTAACTGCAAATGTTCTCTAGTTGACAGTTATTATAAGACTTCTATGTGCGAAGGGAAACGCGCTTCACTGTTTAAAGAAAGGGCGTGGGACGTCTTCCCATCGGTGACTAAATAACCCGTTGGCATTGCACTTCATATTCAAACAATCAGTGGTTTTGATAATTCATTTTCCGTTTTAACACGGAGCAAACATTCCCTTTGCTTAATACGGCGTTCTCGTGTTCTCTTTCTCTATCAAGATGTCAATTATTCTTGTTTGTTCGAACAGTAAACTTCCCTGTTGCATTTTTCTTTTTGCGTAGTTGAGATAACTTTCAATTTGTTAAAGTGATTCGTGATTAAGTAACAGCAAAAGTAACAGCAAAAATAAAAGACCTATTTATTTTTTTCCGTCGCCCACTTCCTCGTTTGAGCTGCATACACCACTCAACGTTACTTTAAATCATGAAATATCTTCCATCAGATTGGCTTGAATGGAGTTTGAAATTAATCCTAAATTGAAGGCCATCGCGCTACGTTAGGTACGAGTTTAAACCATCCTATAGGCATACTACTACTTTTAAAATCGTCATGAGCGGAGATAAGGAGATAGGATTGCACGCTAAATTATTAATTTCGATAATATTGAAGATGGAATGCTGTTCTTTATCAATTTAACAAGATGATGTTGACATAAGCGAGATGACAAGGCCTGTCTTGGATGAGAGAGCATCTATAGCCGCCAGGTGCGAGGCGATCCTATTCTCTCATATGGGGCTCCCTTTGTAATGGCAGAAATATGCCGTTTACAGACGACCTTGAATTCATGATAAAAAAATCCAATGAACGTTATTTATTGACGATGAAGCATTTTGTCTTTTTCTTCCTGTCACACTATCGCTTGATAATTTGATTGTTTCGGAACATTTCACTTAGGTTTGGGAATGTCGTCTGCATATCTTCCCCTAACCCTCATCACAACAAGTTGATTCTTGCTTTATAGCCATTGTGTATCTTGTCCAACTTACAGCTTGTCAATTCAGGGGGTTACATGATCTAATGACACGCCTCTAAGATTTTGCCGTTGTTTACCGAAAACTTTAATTTCTCGGGCTCGTGGTTTTGAAATCACGGGAAGATGACACTGAGATCCATTGGAGATAACAGCATAAAGAAGACAAAGCGGATGGAAATCTACAGATTCAATACACTAATATCACCGATGTCACTGCTTGAAAGATAGTCTCTCAGTTTCGCTCGTATTACAAGTGAGCTTCTTTTAATGGGCATTCTTTGGTAAATAAAAGTGATCGGGACCGTTATTTACGCGCTGCGCCAGCAGATAAATAGACTTCCACTGCATGACACGACCCGTGCGATTCGGGTCACCGCCATCGACAGGGACTTGATCTAGTCTGCCTCTTTCATTTTGCCGTTACAATGATTTGTCAACCCGGATCATCTTGCAGTTTAAACTGATGTAGCACTTATAGACATATGTAGGTGCTGGACGAATACTCCCTTTTAAGTATTCAATCACACCCTGACACCTGTTAACACTTACGCCACAACGTAATTGATTTTACGTTCTTCTGGTAGCAACAATTTACGTGTAGTTCGGAAAAATGCGACTGAAGTGAGAGAGAGAGAGAGAGAGAGAGAGAGAGAGAGATTTGGGCAGTGAATAAGCATAACAGGCGAATAGTTGGCGTAACAAACTCAATCGAACCTGTTTTGATGCGATTCATATATTTTTTTCTCTAAAAGAACACAGCACCCTTTCCATTCGTAAAAACACTGCACTCAAACGAGTCTCTAAAAATTTCTTTTTAAAAACAAGTCCCATAACCTACTCTATTTTGTTACGAATAAATTGCCCCTAATTATATATGCAGAGGGAAACATTTAAAAACAAGTTAAACTGTCAACTTGGTACGAGGTGTCCCGATCCTACATCATCCAGGGGTTAAAAAATAATTTTCCTTGAAAACAGTTATTTAATGCTTGTTTCTCTTACTACATGAGGGTTTATCTTCATCGAATTCGTGACATTTCCTTTTCATCTCCGTAATTAAGCCACCGTCCTACATACAAAACGACAAGATATTCGACATGTTTCCTCTTTTTGATGACAAGAAAAAGTACCTCTGTTGACAGGACATAAGAAGAATTTACGAGGATACAGGAACGCAATTTTCAAGAGCACCTGACGGCTCGAGGGGAAAATCGAGCCCAAAAGCGTGACAGTTAGTAGCGTGCTTGCGACTCCGGCTCAGCGCGGTAGAAGACTACGCAGAGATGTACTAAGCCCCCGAGGGGAGGATGCGAGAAATGAGCCTTACACCTAATCCATTAAATCCCTGCTTGTGACAATTAAATATCACATAAAATATTAATAGATTGGGCTTGTTCCAAGACTTCTGCACCAGGTAACGGTAGATATTTTACAAGCGTTTACAATATACCCCTTGGGCTTTCGAGCTCACTCACAGAGCGCGGTATTGATGCTACTACCGCGGGGACTTAACAAAAAGGTGCGGTTTTGTTAATTAGTTAAATATACACCTCCTCGACGCTGATCGTGTTTGGCTACTTATTGTGTTATCGCCACGTTGAATTGGGGCTGCTGTATCAACGACACGGAAAGCCCTTATTTAGTTTTGATAAAGCTAAAAAAGAAACTTTCGGATGTTTGACTTTCGTCCCGTTACTTCCTGACTCGCGGTTTTATCACGCCGTATATTGAATCTATTCATTCATTTCAATGTTGCTTCCTTGAGCCACGTGCGTATTCGGAATACATGCCTCCTTATTGCACTATCACTTCTCTTTCATGGCCCAGTCCACGCATTGAGTCAACCCAAAGACGATAAAATACAAAAACAAATACAGTTAAGCACTAAAATCTAAATTTCAAAACACGCGATATTTCTTCGTAAAGAAACTTCCTTGACTTTGGTTTTATTTGCATTCTTGATTATGCTAAGCGCAAGGGGCACGCGAAAGAACGGGATTTTAAAATGTATAAAATAAAGTAATTTCCTCATACATAAATACTGTTTGTGGCGTCAAGCCTGCACGTTTACAACTACTTTCATATATTTTACTTTGTAAGTTTTTTATCATGCAAACTATGCGATTGTTCTATTTAAAGATTTTTCTTCCCTCTTTGTACTACGCTCTTGGGCGCTCGTATAATTATTTAATGCAATTCTGCTCAATGAAAATATTGTTAAATTATTCATAACTTTTGCCAGAGGTATACTGGAAGTTGTGAACATCAATATCGTAATTTTTAGCGTCTAAAAAGTTGCACGTTTCAACCTTACTCTAAATATTTTTTTCTCAGTTCAATACACAACATAGCAACATAAGCAATACACAACATAAAAGCATTCTCCCATGATTATCTTTACAAAAAAAGATCCCAGCTCGCATCGAAATATGTAAAAATAAAACACGTTTAACCTGAGAACCCTTTCGGCAATGGATCACGAATCTGGTTACCAAAATAAACGTTTTTTTCCTAAACAACAAATGCCTATTATATATTTGACAACATATTTATGGTGAATAACATTTTAGTAGGTTTATAAAGTTCATTCCGTAATCTCCTTACCTATATCTGCACCAGCCACTGGGATATCTTGGGGGTGGTGGGAAGCTTTCTCTGGGCTTGGCGGACCCTGGCTGGTTTTGCAGCACTTCTCTGGGGGCTCCTCCCCTATCGCCGGGGTCAGCGCCGCATGTTTTCTCACCAGGAACGCTCTGGGCATGGTTACTGCTACTGTTAGAATACTGTCACTGTTTTTCGCCTTTAAAAACGCTCCGACTATCAACGTCAACGTGAGGTGAAATTCCCCTCTGCTTGTTGTGGCTTTGCGCTAGCAACTGACACTTGGACCGTTGTCACCGTTGGATAAGTATGTTAAGGAGAAGAGAGACTGTTAATATTCCTTTCGCTCTCGCTTCCAGTTTACGACTGAAGACACCTGTGGTAGTCGCTACCGTTTTATGTACCGTCTTCCCTAGCCCCCTAGACCACGGTCACCTGACACGACCAAACACATACGTCTGCTACTTGTGAATAGGGGCAGTTAGTGGGAGTCAACAATGGGCGGGGGGATTCACCCGCGTGCCGTCGTCGCCGAACTTTCGTCACGCTCCGATCGCCAGCTGATAGCGAAATATAATTTACTGTTGCTCCCCCGGCCGTAACTATTGTCTTTGTTAACGATGTCTCAGGTAAGTGTGACGCATGCGCGGTTTGCGCGGGACACTTTGATCATATCTGTTTCATTCACACGTGCAAGTCCGATGTTCGTGGTCAGTGTCCCCAGTAATTCAGCCCGACTGACCATGGTCAAGCGTGCAATTAGCGAACAATCTATTGATACCTGTGTTTAAGAACTTACACTGGCGGTGTGTCTGTGCGACTGGCTAACTAGAGGGGCAGACGTGCCTAATTATCTGTCGGACCCCAGTGATCAGTTGTATCGTGAAATTTACCTGTTGGAAAAGAAAACAAGACCCAACGTGTGATGAGTTTTCACAACACGCTCGTTATCTGTGAAAAATCTTGGTTTTTGATAACTTTTGAAAGCGAGTGGTGATATGATAACACAGCTGTCAGGCATTAACGAATGTTATCGGTCGACGAACGACTTCTGGACATTTAGAAATTTAAAAATTGTTTACGTACAAACAGCAAATTATCCAACGTGGGTTGAAAAAGACAGACGTTCGGGCGATAGACAGACAAATGTTTAGACTGGACTGAACAAAACTTAATTCCACGTAGATTTTCAAGCTATCTACAGACGTTTTGGTGTTCACGAATGATGTAATAATAAGTTTGCAAGCTAGGTTCAGACTGAAAAAAATTTTGATTTTTATTACCTTTTCATTTCTATTTTGCACCCAGTTCAAATTTCATTGATAAAATTGAAAATGAAAATTATCGGGAAAATCTACCTCTTTCGATTTTTCTTTCTCGAGTTGTAAATAATTTCTGTCTCATAAAGATATTTACTTTTCTCTCATAAAGATTCGATAAAAATTTTGGTCTATTAAACAATTTGAAAAAGACATTCCATGATATGTGTTGGGGCTTGTTTCAATTGTATTTGCATTTTAGGTAGTCTGTACTCATATCTCAAAGGCACAATATTTCCTTTTAGAAAATAGGCAATGACAACCTTTTCTTAAATGTCTTAATTTAAGCGTAGTGTAAATCCGAGGTATGAATTTATCCTTTGCCCCTCCACAGCCCAAATGATTGAAGAGAGGTCTTAAACACGTATGCATATTGAGTTTGAAATGCGAAAATTTAACTGTCGCTACACGAAAAGATAAATTCTCGATGATCTTAAATAAATTCGTGGCTTGGAATTTATTCTGCTACAAAATTGTAATAATTGAATATACTTTAAGCCACTTATTAAGGGAAGAAATATTGTTTAAAACAAGTCGAAATAAATGGTTGACCAAAGCTGAAAAAGGATCTTAAATGCATGATGGGTCCAGTATTTGCATTGACTAATGGTCTTTTTATACAAACCAAAAGGAACAAAGTAAGTTGAAACCGATATATTCCTATTTCAATTTAAGGGAGTTTCGTATTAGTAATTAGATTTTATTTTAACCGCATTTCACATTTGTCATTATAATCACGTGTTTTACGAAACGCTGACACTAGTATTGCTTTGAATCTCGTCTGTGTTATTATACGGGTAAACTTGTAAACAAGACGCCACTGTTGAAAAATTGATGTTTCATTTCGATAAATTCGCGTGGGCTTCTTTATAAATGTAACTCTACCACAAAGATTGAAAAACAGAAATACAGAGATAGCGAAACAAGGAAAACCCGCAGCCAGGCCTAAAGAAAAACCTGTTAAATAAGTAGTACGCTATCGCCAAATATTGCAGTGTAATAAGTTAATTCGATTCTCCAATAGCATTTTAAGCATAATGGTCTGGCCTGAAAAGTGATATTTAGGACGTAGCGTCGTGTTTAAAAATGAGAGGGGGGGGGAGAGAGCCCTGTAGCACAAACACTGGCCTGCATGTGACTGACAGCATATAAAGAATAAAGCTTGATGAATAAAGTAATTGCATGGGGGAGATTTCAGTTTCAAATTTCATCCAACCGTACGTAAAATATTTAATTCCCATTGCCGGAGTTGTATAGCTTCTGTGTTAAAAAAATCAAAAAATTAAAACGCCAAAGAATCATAACAATGCTTACCCACATATGTAATTTACTTTTTTTATTTTTGAAATCCAATTTCACTTCAAAAGATTAACGGATTTTAGTAATAGTTAACCGATGGGAATAATGGATATAATTCGTCTTTTTCTCGCCTTGCGGCTTGATTGCTACGCAGAAATTCGGGCACACGTTAACGGTTTCTTTTTTTTTTTTCTCAAATCACTCTCTCTATCTATTTGCATCTCCCTCTCTCTCTCTTTTGGAATAGAAAATTTTATAGAAACAAAACCGTTTGCTTTCGGTTTACATTTATTAAGGAAAATTTCACTGCACTTGCACTATCCTTCAAATGCACTCACTGTCCGTTATAGTATATGAATTAGTAAGGAATCTAGTTCATAACTGTATACTGTGTTACGGATTATTCTTATAGCGGACGTTGTCACAAAAACATTACTTAAAAGGTGTTATTATTTTCATTAACTTGAAAGATATTCCCCTCAAGGATTTCCACATCCGAAATAAAGTCAACGGAAGTTCTTTCTTAAAAGCTAGTAGTTAACAGTAACGCCCAATTCTTCCACACCCCAAGGCCGCCTTCAGTCACATGGCTGTGATTCCTATAGCAGACCCACGGATGCACCCTGATTAGTAGGCCGTCAAAATGGAATTAATCAAGTAAACCTTGATCAAGCGTCCCGTCTACCTGTGTGGACCATCAGTTCTCACCTTAATGAATTGGAATTCAAACACGGCTACCTGACACAAAAGTATGTAAGAGACACGGCCGCGCGGACAAAGCGCAGTGGCGTATGATGTCTCCCCTTGATTGGAGGGAGGCATTCGACGGAGGACAGGTATCAACATCAATTACCGCCCATCTGTACACAATAGAGAAAACTTGCTGAAATTACGCGTGAAATTAAGAGACTTCTTTTATCTTTTCCGGCGCTCCACACACCCTTAACAGCCGATTCCAACAAATGATAAGGTGCTTTATAGAAATCCAATTAGAAATCAGGAGAAATACAGTTAAATTGGAAATAGGAGATTCCCACGGAGGAGCGGGATGGGAAAGTTTGTCTCGTTTGTAATTATCAGTGGACTTTACAATAAGAATCCGTATTATTATAATTGCGACGGGAAAACGTGAAGCGAAACTAGCCTTAGGATTGCCAGATATAATATAATATAATATATTATGAATAGATTGAATGGGAAATTGTGAATTATAAAAAGGGAAACGTTGGTCTCATTATCAATTACAGAACTGTGCATATTATGATGATTGCAGCATAAAATGTGATAAATCTCTGACAAGAAATTTTCGTTATGAAATTAGGGGCGGGAAAACGGTGAAATCCAACATAAGTAGTTGGTCTCAGTAGCAGCTATGGTGGGGGAGGCCCGCAATACGTATACGTTTCGGAGTTGTAATAATAAAGACATGATAAATTTCTGGTGGGGACAATTTTAAGGAAATGATAGTCAGGAAAATTATAAAATCCAACAGTAAATGGTCGATCCGATTTGTAGTTATCACAAACCACCACAATAAGATTCAATCTTGTGTACGATTGTATCATGAAATTTGAGAGCGGTCCGCCCAGAAATTTGAATATAGGCACGATGAGGTGGTGCATTGTGAAAAGTCATCAGTAGCCTACATAGATGGTCTCTTGTAATTACTGACTGCCTACTCAACTGAATTCAATATTGGGAATAATTGTGACTTAAAAGATAGCGAAAGTCCATCCAGAATCCGTCATCAGAAAATAATTTGATGATAGATTTTGCTTTTACGGGCCTTTCAAGCAGTGGGCATATATGTATATATGCCTGGCCCTGTTATCTCTCCTGAACAATAGATCAAAGAGATAAACCCCACCGCTCTGTATAAAAAGGTACTGATGGATGAAATGAATCCTGGATGTACAGCCCTCCGGACAAAGAGACACACAATATAAATATTGTCATTGAGATTCCAGAAATTCATAACTGTTGTGGCTGGTCACTTTTACTGTCTGTGCTTTACAAATTCCATGTCATGTTAATCAAAGTATCTGGACTGTCGTAATAAGCGGTATTCTAGGGTGACGGGGTGGGATGAGCCTTATCTGATTCATGGATGAAAATTTAAGTAACAATATCTATTAGACTATGTCAATGCGTACAATTCTTTATGATATGGTATGCTATAACATCATGATTCATGATTATTCTAGATGTATTTGATTGATATGAGGTGGCTATAAATAATTTTGAAATAGGGTTTTCAGATTATATGATATTAACTGTAGACACCGGTCATTGTTAAGCGTGGATAATTTTTAAGCTCAAATTATTGCAATAATTACAAAAAGGAACCAGACGCGCAAGGGCTGACGATATTGGAAGACACAATGGCTAATTATTGCCGCAAAACACTCCACGAAATTGAGTTTGATCTCTCTATCGATAATTTCATCCAATTTAATTAACCTACTCATCACATGGGGGCGTAAGATCGTAATAATTTCACCTTAATGCATTTTTTCCACAAAACATTGTTTTGTCAGATTTATTTTTCGTGTCATTCATACTTTTTTTGTGCTCCTTGCATATGTGAAATTGAAGTTTTGAAGTCATCAATTAACTGCAAGGAAAGGTTTTTCATCTTTTGTGTTCTAGGAAGGCAACATTTGCTGTTGACTCAATGTGAAATTTTGACCCATTGTGTGAAAAGATGCAGCCCCACTGCATCATTGAGGTGACTGGGTGCGTGACAGACTGACACGATGTGTCCGCAGACAAATACAGTATCTCACTCTACCGTTTTATTTATTTATTTATTTATTTATTTATTTATTTATTTATTTATTTATTTATTTATTTTTGGAACTATTTTTTTAATCGTTTCGACTTGTAGAATAAGTGGTAGTCAATGATCTTCTACTGGTAAATAAAATGGGATTGTCTTCAAATTATTAGTCATTATCAATTATAACTAATTATTGTGTCGTCTCGAAAGAAGAGGGATACCACATTTACAGTTATAAAATAAAAACCATGCCATCTCGTTGCAAGAGTACAAAACATTTTATATACATGAAGGCTTTTTCAGTAACATCATATTTTACAAACAGACGGTTAACCTCATTGCTACCAATGCAATGCGCTTGCATTTTCACAAAATAAACATTTTTTAAAAATCTAGTTTGCTTTATGAACTTATGAGTTTTTCACAAAAAATACTTTTTTCAAATAAGCTCTCTCTTACCTCCTCGATAATTCTTCATTATTATTTTATTAACTCTATTTATAACACGGTATTTGTCTCTTCGAAAGATGCTGATTTTGTAGATTAAAGGTGATAATAAACGGTCCAGGTGATCACGATATTACTTTTTCCTTACACAAAAGCAATAATTTTCATTACATCATGATTATGTATTTTTCATTTCATAATTCTATGGTCTAAACTCCGGGCTCAGTATTGCACGAGGCTATTCACGAATGGGTAACATTGCAACAGGCCTGAATATTTGATTAAATCAAAAGCAATTACACGGTGCGTGCACCACTGATAACAATTAACAAGCCAGTGGATAATCGAATCAAGTGCGCGTGATAACATCAAAGCTTATTTTTGAGGCGTAAAAAGGCAAATAATGCATGGTAACACCTCTTATCTTTGCTACAGACAAAGAAAAATATCATTGCCAATTGCGTAGTTTTTAAAGTTATTTAACAATAAAATTCTAGAGAAAAATTGGGGCAATTTCTTTTTTTTAGAAGCAACCCACGCGTATAATATGTCGGACCAACCTCTCCGAACCCAGACCCCGGCTCTTTTCAAAATTCACTTGCATCTGTCGCTGATCAGTCCACCTGTTCCCCCCTTAAGGAATAAATAAACAGAATCAAAGAAAAGAAAGAAAAGATTATACAGAAAGCATATCCGGTGATTGCTACAAGTTCACAAAATGACGAATCTTCTGTTTCTCTGTGTGAAGAGGGGGGTATTTATAAAGTAACCGCGTCGGCTTTCAATATCTCTTCTTTTCTAGTCTTAAAAAATTCTTGTCTGTTCTTATGTCCTCGAAATCTCTTTAACTATTATTGTCATAAAAACCACTTTATGCATTATATATTTATTTTTCTCGACAAACAGGAAGTCTTAAGTTTTATCCTCAGCAAAGTTAGCATTATTAAACCAGTATGTTTGACTGAGATTTATTAACTCTTTTCCTCTATTTTTTTCCCTTTTTCCCCCTAGAATGCATAGAAAATAGGGATCGAGGTCGCAAACACGATATTTGTCGTTAAACGTTTATTTACTTTTGGTAAACGGACTTGTAGTAGGAGGCATATATCATTCAGGTAAACTTTCCTGTTTGCTGATGTGCTCTTGTCTCATTAAAGCTCAATTTTTTTATACATTAAGTCTTGGTGAGCCAGAAGAAGACAAGGAGGTAGCACGCACATTTCTCCACGTTAAAGTGCTGCTGTTATACCTAAAACAAACCTTGACGTTTTTTTTTTTTTTTTTTTTTTAATGTTGACTTTAACGGAAGTTTCGTTTAAATGTCTGTATGGAATTTACCTGTTGGGCCGAGTTTGTATTTTATGAAGCCAAACATTGGCTGAACGTAGGAGTAATATAGGGGCTAACTTTCAGTATATGATTACGAATAAAAAGATGGTTTAATGTTGCGTTGTTCACAGATGGACTTATGCCGGCCATGAAAACTCATCTTTTTCTTCCTCAGATCACGAATCACACCCTCACTCCACGCCAGCATCTTCGCTTGTGACTTTTTTCCCGTTTCAATTGTATAATTTGATACAGCATGCGTGTTGTTTGAGTTGGAGTATGGCGGTGCCTTTTATTTTTCATTATTTATAGTTTTGTTTGCCCGCCACATCCTTGATCATACGTGATAGACCTTAGAAATGGATGATCAATAAATGAATGAGTTATCAATAAGAGAACTGTTGTAAATTGGGAACGTAGGCTTACCTAGGTCTAAGCAAAGAGACACCTTTACTTCATCTGGAAGTTAAAAAAAATTATTAGACTTTTTAGCTCAAAAGCTACATCCCAGTTGGCATTTGGTTGGCATGGGCATGCCGCCATTGGGCGAATAGTAGGGGGCCTCGAATAATAGGCCCTACATCTTCAAAAAAATNGCGTGTTGTTTGAGTTGGAGTATGGCGGTGCCTTTTATTTTTCATTATTTTTAGTTTTGTTTGCCCGCCACATCCTTGATCATACGTGATAGACCTTAGAAATGTTGTGTGCGAAGCAATCACACCTCCGCAGCGTCTCATCTACCACATTTTTTCTCTTTGCAATAAAGGACAAAGCGACACCGATCCCACGACACTTTTTTATTAAGCCTTTGGTATTATTTATTTATTTATTTGACTGACTCGTCATCAGAATCAACAAACATATAAATGTAATATTATTGATCTATATTGAATGTCAGGGCCGTAGCCTCCGGGGGGGGGGGGGCAGGGGGTTGGGGGCAGCTGCCCCCCCCTGGGATTTGAGTTGCAAAAAAAAAAAAAATAATAATAATAATTATCGCAAAGGTAAAAAAAAATATTCCAAAAAAATTTACGAAATGAAGTTTAATTGGCGTGTTTGTTGAAAAAATGACTGTACTTATGGCAAAATGAACCCACAATTTCGGACTTCTGACTGAGCAATAAATAACAGTTAAAATGCACCAGAATCCAGTATTATACATACAGTTTTTTTAAATTTTCCACACCGTGGGAGGGGGACACCCCCTCCCCCCTCGGGGGCTTTGCCCCCTCATGTCCGCTTACTGCCCCCCCTGGCATTTTGCTCAGGCTAC